AAGAAAATACAAGCCTAAAACAGTACAGATTTCAACAGAATATTGTTCACTCCTGCTACTTCAAGAATTGAATCCTCTGGGAAAACAAAGTATAGTGATATGGGGAAGTGGAACACACAAATGTAAAAGCATCAACAGGAAAATACTTAGGGGAAAAAAAAACCATTGAGGTAGTCAGTTTAGAAAGTAAATTCGAAGAGCATTCACCGAGCTCCTTCCATGTACAACCACAGGGCACGAAGGAGCAATGGCAGTTAGAATAGGATGCGTGTACATGGGACAGGCTGGCTTTTGTATACAGTTGGACTCCTCTAACTTCAGATTCATGTAAACATTCACATTCTTCACAGCTCTGATTCTGAGTTTCCATCACCTGTCTTCTGCATTTTCTTTATTCCCTGTATGTACTTCTTTACCTTAGGGGTTAGCCACGTCTAATCCATTTCCACCTTGCTGTCAGGGTGACCTCAACATAATGAAAATCTGGTCCTATTCTTAAAACTGTAAACTATGTCCACAAAACAAAGTGTGCTCTGACTAAACTGGCCCTCTGTTTTCAGATCTCTGCCTCCCTTTCCAGTCTCATTTCCTCCCACTCCCAAGTCCTGCCCCCATTTCTGGCCAGAAGCTCACAGTCTTTACACAAGCTGACCTGCTTTCCTATAAGGCTTTTCCCATGACCCACGCTGACACCCTATTAAGTTCTAGTTACCTTTCATGACTGGTGCTCTTCTGGGAGGAGTCTTCCAACCACACTAACTTCTCTGCTATTCCAGGAACCTCGAGTAACATTACTTATTCGATAACTCCCATACCAGATTATGAATTTCTTGAATAACAAGTGGAGAGTTTTATTTAAATATTATTATGTCAAGACCCAAGAAAAGGGCCTTATATGTAGTAGATGCTCATACATTTTTAAAATTTTAATGAATGAGGGAGTGAGCAAGCAAATGGGTTAATGAAAAAAACATGGTTTTGACACATGCTTAAGAACACAGGCTTTACGATATAACACACAGACAAATAAAAGTCTACTTGTGTGAATGTAGGGAAACGTAAAGGCAACTTTCATGAGCATGTTCGTGTCTACTGTTGACTGGACATCTAAAGGGGTGATTACACATCTAAGGTTAGGACTTTCTGTTAACCATCTTAAAATCAATGAAATCTAAAATATCATAGAAAATCTTTGGATTTCAAAACAATACCATCCTTTCATACTAGCTCAGTACTGGTGTCAGAGACAGAGAGGAGAAAGAATGAAAAGTGGGAAGGACAGAGGGGACTGAAATAATATCAGGGAGGAAAAGCTCCTGCCTGGAAAACACCATGTGAGTAAGTTGCTTAGGCTATTACTGCACAAAGAGAGCTGACACTTGCTTTCCAAGTTTGAGATTTCTTGTTCATCCTGTACAAACACTGCAGTTAAGGTCGTCACTATAGAAGTAACATCTCTTACCTACAAACTACGCAGATTCTTTTATATATTCTGGTAGATTGCTTTGAATTATTGATTAAATGTAAGGTTGTATTATGATTATGTAGGTCTGGGTAGTTGAGGCATCAAGATAAAATGTTGGCTGCAAAATAACCAATGCTTTTATGGAGATGTACTATCTGCCGTCTGATGGCAAACTTGTGGATGGTCCTTTTTGATTCCCATTCATCAAAGCTGGCAGGCACATGCAGAAGGACATGGAGTGTATATTATCAGGATAAGGATAAAGTCAAGGATAAGAAAGTCAGCAAGCCATGCCCAGAAACAGAATTTCTAAGACTGAGGTAGGAGACACTGAGCCACAGCCAGAGGAAAGGGCCAGAATTTTCTCCTAAAAGGCTGCAAGTTCATTATTACAAAGTACTAATCAATTAGTGCAAAACAGTCTACTTATTTTGAAAATCAATGCCCCACCCTACAGTCCATTCTCTAGAAATTGAGACATTGTGCCTTGAAGAAGATGAGGTTTTCTACTGACTATCTCACAGAAATAAAATCTATTTGAAAACATTCTTCTATATGATAAATAATATTTCATTCTTTGTGCCCTGAAATTTTAAATGAGATTTATAGTTCTCTCAATTCCTCAACCAAAGGCTCCAAACAAAAGTAATTTCATTTTCATTGGTTTAATTATTTCAGTGCTCCTCAGTGGAAAAATGACCCTTATATAATGCTTATTAGAATAATTAAAATTACCGAAAAACGACATATTGTATTTTAGAAAACAAAGCTTATCAAAAAACATTCTGATAAATTAACTGTGAACTGTCTTTTTAAAAATGATATATGTATATTATCACTAGCCATTAACTTTTATAATAATCAATAACTTACAAACTCATGAGTAAAAAACCCATAAAATTTATTACTTCCCAATGGGTTTAAGATATTTCTTGCATAAAACCTAGGGTTGCTTATATATAGCAATATTTTTCCTTTCTTAGGCTAATTAATATATTTTATATAGTAGAAACATCATAAATAATGTTTACTATGCTTTACCCAATATAGCTCACCTAAAAAAAATAATATATAGTCAATAATGCAAATATTTTTAAAAGTTACAATTTGTTTGGTATAGATGGTTTCTTAGTTTCTATAGTAATTCATTTAACTGGAAACTTCCAGAAAATGCTGCTGGATTAAGCTAAGAATTTAATAAGGACTAATCTGGTTGATTTTATTACATATAAGTGAAAATTCCTTGGGACATAATAACAGCTTCACTTCTTGCCCTCTTTTATTATTTTAACATCAAATAAAAGGTTAAAAATACAGTTTATCAATACGATGGCAATGTATTATTGTCCAGAAAGTGGTTTTCTGGACCAGGGAGATCCTCAATTCCACATTTTTTATGTCTTTAATCTTACATGAAGTAATAACTTAGAAGTCCAATGTCAATTTCTGGTTATTCAAAACTAAACAAGAGAAGGCAACAAAATGGTACTCCCATTCCTCCATGTTATCTAGTCTTAGAGTTGTACGATGTATAACATGTATGCATAAAGTCGTAAAAGGATTCAGAATGTGTAAAAATGAGAAAAATATTCTGTAGGGCTTTTAGCACATTGATATATCCTTTTTGACAGCAGTGTCAAAAATGGAACAAAAACATAAAGATGCCCAAACTACTAACCAACGATCTCACTCTGGAGAAAAAACTGAGTAGATGCAAAGCTGAATGCACAGAGGTTGTCTCAGCAGCACTCTATGATAGCAAATAATGGAAAACCACCTCAGGGGAGACAAGGGGGGAAGCTGTGAGTAATGTGATAACATCTGAAATAAAATTTATGATACAACCTTTGAAAATAAAAACAAGAATAGGTAGCAACATGGAAAAGTTTATGCATATAATATGCAAGGTTTTCATAATGTAATGACTAATGTAAAATATATATTCATGAAGACAATGATCAAAGTCATATATAAAATTAAAATAATTATTACTCAGATTTATTATTAATTTTAATCATATTGATATGATGCCTTTTAAAAGAAAATACTTGGGTTACTTATTAATTATACGATTTCTAGTGAGTTTTAGTAGATAGTGCTACTTAAATCTACCTGGAACACTAAAGAGACTGACGGGGTTTTATTCAAGGTAGGCGTCCTAATGAATCATTACCACTTTGGCAGTTCAGATAGTTTAAGGTACAGAGGCACCTTCCAGGGGGGTCTAAAACAATAGCAAATGAGCTCTGAAAATAGACACACTTGCAGAGTTGTTTCTTTTTTTTTTAAGGTGTATGTTTTTACTGTTAGGGTCTTCCGACTCATTGTCACTATTGATTTCCTCAAACATTCTCTGAATGCTGAACATGTGCTGTAAATTTCCACACATTTTTAACCCCAATCTGCAGGCAGATTCATGAATCAGATAAGGAAAACACTGTATGACAGATCCAAAGGCTGAGGTTTCCAAAAAGGAATTAAGGTAAAATTCAAATAAATGAAGTAGGAGGTAAAATCTAAGTAAATTTTTAAAAAATCTGTGGCAAATGTGGAAAGCTGAAAGGCCACAGTAGGGCCCAGAAAATAACAGAAGTGAGTGCAGCAGGCTGTGTAGAAGTAATGGGGAGGAAGGAGGACTGTGGCCCGAGTGTTCTGTTTAAAAAGCAGCAACCAGGACGTAGATCTAACAGGTCGCTGCCGTGCATGAATGCAGACCTTGGGCTTGGGCTGCCAGATACTCAGAATCATTCAAGGAGGCCAGAAATATAGATGCCTGTGTGAAACTTCTGAGTTTCTAAGTGTTGACAACTAACTTAATTAGTTTCAATTTTTCATTCCCTGTGAGAGCCAAATAATCAATGCCTTTGGGCTTATTTGGTTTCACGGGCTCCTACATGCCCTCTCTGATCTCCAGTGAGTATTCAGGGACTTCCCCAAGGGATTTGCCAGAAGTCATATTTTCAGTTGAGGCCCTTCTTAGGAAAAAGAAAAAGAAAAATGCAAAACAGTGATTCTACATAGGTAAGCACACAGGCAAGCATAAATCAATACGGGCCTGCAAACTACAAGAACATTATAATAAGACCTGCATGCTCTTGAGGAGGAAAACCTTAGCAGATTTTATTTTTATTTGTCTATAAGGATTGAGGAAACATTCTGAGTCACTACAAAAGATTAGCCCCCAAAGGCTTTTTACTAAAAACGATCAGAATGAAATGACGACATTTGGCCAAGATGGAATTGCTATGAGCTACCAAATTGCAAATAGGATCCAGGTATGTGTCCTGCAATGTGCCTGCCTGTCGCTAGTGTCCCTTTACCTGTCTCTGGAGATTCCTACAGAATGAGGGTCTGGCTGAGTACAGGAGGAAACAGGGGGCTAACTGTAAAGGTGTTTTCAGTTGAGCTGTAGCAATTTCCCTGTCACCAAAGTTAGGCTCTGCAGAGGCGTGGGCATGAGTGGTTGGGAGGAAGGGGAGAGTTGTCTATTCAGCTAATCACTTGCGTCACATGCACCCAAGGAAAAAATGTTTACCTGGTGGAGCCACGGTTAACCTTTTTTCCTTGCTGAGCCGGTGCCCTTGGATGAATTCACTCATGGAAGGGGGGCCCTTCAGAAGAAATGATTCTGTGGAGGTGGGATCAGGGGGAACTCTTAATAAACTCTGTAGGTAGGAGGCCCCTGAAGTCCTGGGACGGCTCTGATCACAAAGGGAAGGTGAAAATTGTCTTGCAGGAGATCCAAGAAAATACATATAGGAAACAAAAAAGTTTTACTTTAATTACCTTTCAAAGCCTCACCAGTGACAACATTATTTATATTGGCATTTAAGTTTTTTTTAACATGTAAGTCAAGATTTTTGCTAACTGTTTGGTTTCCACACCAGGCTACTACCCCATTTGGAAACCATACTGGATACTGAAAAAGAGATTTATTAGAGTTAGTTTGAACCACCAGTAGAAATTTTTATATTATTTGATTTTGTACAGAAATCTCCTAAAATGAAAATTTTGCCATTAACTGAAAATATAGCAAAATTCAACATCCAAGAATATGGAAAAAGGTCAGAAAAATCAAGCCACTGAAAACCTTACAAGTGATTTCTTTGAGTAATATTTATATACCAAAAGCAAATGCACAGAAACCTGCTTTTAAGAAAAAGACTATACATATTCCATCCCACTTTACCTACATATAGACATCTCCTCTACTGAGTCCTCAGTTTTGGCAGCATAAACCAAGTTCCCCTAAGAGAACAGATTCATGCCCTCGCCCCATAAAGAGAAGCTGGTGAAAGCACCATTCGCAGAGGTACAATGACTTTCAAAATGACCACCCATGTAAAACAGAGCTGCATTCTTAATGTCCACCTTTTATCTACCAATTTTTAGGCTGGAGGTAAGGGAGAGGTATATTTATGCATACAAGGAACAGCAAAAATGTTGACAGACACTTGAAAGTTATGGTTCATTAAGAGGTGAGGCAAGGGAACAGAAAGGAGGAAATAAACACCATTATCAATAGGTTTTGACTGGAAAAAAACAACATTGTCGAGGTCCATTTATAATATGCCCCCTCCCAGTTCTTCTCTTCCTTCCCTTCCTCCGTCCTCCACAATCAGGACACATTAATGTTTGCAGTTAACTAAACATCTGGCCACTGCACCAAACTGTGAAGATCGCTGCATGCATACCTTTTCCTCTGAGTGCCACTGCTGACCCGAATGTTGGGTGTCTGTGGGCCCTGCCTACGCAGGAGGTAAGTGTCTATGGTGGGCACGGTGACTGATGCCTCCCCACTTACTTTAGGGCTGCCGATCTTGCTCTTTCCAAATTTGCCTTTGCTGCGTCGCGACTGCTCATGGTCAAACTCTAAGTCCTCTAGCCGCTGGGTCAGGGCGAGTTTTTGCTGGATAGCCATTCGTAACAAAGTATTTAGAGTCTTCTTCTCGTCCTCTGCGGCTGCCAACTGTCTCTGCATCTCATCCAACTGCGTGACATATTCATCACATCTGGAACCCAAATAGAAACGGGGTCAGGAGAAAATCCTGGCAAAACTGAATTTGGAATTGACATGGAAAAGTAATAGATTTTACTGGAAATTGGGTGCTTAGAACACTGGTCTTCTTAGAGCAGAATGGAGGTATTCCACCAAAGCAGAAATTAGCAACAGTGGAGCAGGTGCAATAATTGATCGCTCATCTGTGCCATGGAGTACTACACATGGGGACATTATTAACAGGTGACATCTTAGCCCTCAAGGACGGTTACTGTGGGGGCTGCTGTGTGGTGGCATAGGCAGTAAAGTCTCAGTCAGTGTTCACAGCATCTTAGATGTGTTCACAGCATCTTAGATTGTTCCAGTGGCTTCCAGTTCTTTGGAGGAATGTGGCAAGTTTGTTATAGGCTACGTCTGTAGCCTGCAAAAAAATATTAATGTTTATAAAGAAAGCATTTTCTTCCTTATCTACATTCATAGGTTTTATTTTAATCGAGTACAGATAACAGCTGCCACTGCTTTCAATGTAGCAGATTTGTCTGAATGAGAAGCCTGAGTAATTTCAATGATCTCTCGACCAGATGATTTAAGTAATAGGTGTCAAAGAAAACCAAGATTTGCATCGGACTTGACACAGATAAGGAGGACCATCCAACACCTCTGCAGGCTGGGTGCCTGTGCTGCAGCAGGAAGGCAGGCTCAGTGATCTGTTTTCCCCATCAAAGGGAAAACCTGAGCACATATACAGTTGAAAAAAAGAAATAGTCACATAATTACAGTTTTTCTGAGTTTATTTACCCACTGAGATAATAAAAATATTCTTCATATATCAACAGATCATTAATGACTTGGTGGAGTTATCCAAAATGTATTGTGCACACTTGGAAATCAGCACAAGCCTTGTGACATTTTAAAGAAAAAACAGACCCTGGAGTGAAAGAACTTGAGATCTGAGTGGGTCCCCATTTTCTTTTACCTTGAACATTAAGAGGCACAGTAAGGATATCATAAGAAAATTCAGGGCTTAGTAAAACACAATGTGAATTTCAGGATGCTGGATTTATTTTAATTGGGCAGATAACAGTATTTTTAAAAATACTATGGAGTTTGGCATTACTATACCCCCAAGGTCCCCAAATTTTCTGTGAAAATGCACTATTTGGGGGAATCATTCTTATGCAAACCAGATTGAGACTTTAAATGTCCCTTTAAAAAAGGTTTTGATTCTATACACAGAATGCTGACTTTGTTCGTCAATGGGGGTTATGGGCGCCGTCCTCATTCTCCATCCTGCCTCCCCCACCGGGGTCAGAGGTGACGCGTTCTACTCCCCGAAGTCTTAGCACGCTTGGCGTGACCCGGAAGCCAGTTTCCTCAGGTCCCCGCACCCCTGGGGGCCCTCGGGCACTCGGCCTCCTCACTGAGTCAATCACAAAGTATAAGCTTGAGCCTTTCTTTCCTGACATCCAAAGAAAGCTGGACAGAATCCCAGGCTCCTCTACAAGGACTTTGTTTTACACTTGTATCAGCTGCATGTACGTTATTTGCTGAATCTGCAAATATGCTATTGTTATGCTTTGTGAATTCTGTACCGAGCTGGCATCACAGAAATCTTTATGTAACTGTTTTTATTTTGGCAATAAATTGTGACAGCAAAAATGGTCACATATTGAAAATCTCAGGATTTTGAATGCCTTGAATCAATACATTCTTAATAAGCATTTCAAGTGTTAAAAACAAAATACAGTGGCACCTAGTAATGAAACTGGTGGGAGAGGGAGTAACTAATTAATTACTTGGACAATGTGGAAAATTTGGTGATATAACTACATTTTATGTTATATTTATATCAGTATATTAAAGTCTAAGCAATTAGCTGATATGATGAATATTAATCTTCATTTTGATAGTATCTTTCTCATATATTTATTCATGATAAGCACATTTATGTACTTTGGTATAATCAATTTTAGTCATAATAATATTTAGCTACTTTAGCAAGTAGGGTTTTTTCCCCTTGGTGGAGGCTTTTTTGTTGCTCTGATTCTTTGGGGTGCATAAGCACCTCTACTATAAATATAGAAAACAATATTGTATTAATTTTAGAATACATCTATGTAAAGGAATTGCTGAACCAGTGCACCCAGGAGAGGGCCCTGGAAAACAGCACAAAAAGTCTTATCTGAGATTTGTCAGAATGGAATCTCTTCTATTTTCTTCACAACTTCCACACTCAAGATGCACGAAGATACACAAGAGCATTTTAAAGTCTCCTCCCCAGGTACCACACCCACCCTCGGGAGATAAAATGATTACCTGGTTGCAAACATTGCTCTCAGGGATGAGAAAGTTGCTGCATCTTCTTTCAAAGCTTTCAGTTCATTTCTAAGTTTTGTCATCGTTTCAGTCACCATCGCTTTCTCATTTTCGTATTTGTTCTTGAGATTAGCTAGGGCCACCTCAGCTGTCTAAAGCAGAAAAATCAGCATGGTTACAACTTTCACATCAGGAAAATCTATCACAGATTTCCTCATGCTGGGCCTATTTCTTTAAGAAAGGGGAGTAAAATGGATTTGGTTGAGTTTTATATAAACATAGGTATGTACTTTGGACATAAGGCAGTTTTCCTTAATACCAAAACGTGTCGTGAATCCACAGTGTGGTGAAACTGCCCGAGAAGCCAGCTATGAGCCAGAGACAGCATGGGAAGCTCGGGCAGTGGCAGTTCAATACAGTTAACGGAGTGGGTTGCGAGTGTTGGATTTTCGTGCATGAATTCAGGGAGCCAAACTGAAACCTTAAACAAGAAGAATTTTATCAAGAAGTCGGGGGGAAAGCTCTGCTTCCTACTGAAATACAACAGAACTCATATATACTCGCAGCACCTGTGCTCTTAGGGGCTGAAACAAACAGAATAAACGATGGAGGCCATTGCAACTTATGTCATGCATCTATGACAAACTATTTATGCATATTTTATGTTTAAGAAAAAAATGGGGACTTCTAGCCAAGATGGAGGTATAGGTAGACACACTGTGCCTCCTCGCATAACCAAAATTAAGGAAAATAAAAATTTAGAAACAAAAAAAACAACCAGAACTGACAGAAATTTGAACTGTACAGAAGTCCTACAACCGTTCATCCAGACCTGTACAAGGGGTAGAGTCGGCTGCAGGCAGAGAGGGGTCCCAGCAGGAAAAAGCAATGGCTGGTGGACCCCCCGGGCATGGGGAGGCAAAGAGCAGACCCAGTGAGGCGCGCAAGGCAGCTGGCTGACTGTGGACACACATTCACGCAGATAAACCAGGTGAAAACGGGCAGCGAGACAGACCGCATAACCCAGGGCCCCAGTGCTGGAAATGAAGCTTAAAAGCACCGATTGAAAATACCTGTGGGAGTTGAGGTGCCAGGAGAGACTCCCAGCCTCAGAGGAGAATTCGTTGCAGAGACCCACCGGGTCCTAGAACATACACAAGCCCTACACACCTGGGAACCAGCACCAGAAGGGCCCAGTTTGCTTGTGGGAAGTGGCAGAAGGGACTGAAATCTGGGAAAGAGAGCAGAGCAAGCACCATTGTTCCCTCTTGGACCCCGCCCCCACATACAGCATCACAACCCAGCCACATGGGTTGCCCCACCCTGGTGAACACCTAAGGCCTCTGCCCCTCATACATAACAGGCGTGTCAAGGAAAAAAAAAAAGACCCAAATGAAAGAACAGATCAAAGCCCCAAAGCCAATACATCTAAGTGACCAAGAGATAGCCAACCTATCAGATGCACAGTTCAAAACGCTGGTGATCAGGATGCTCACAGAACTGGTTGATTTTTGTCACAAATTAGATGAAAAAAAATGAAGGCTACACTAAGTGAAATGAAGAAAAATGTACAGGGAAACAATAGTGATGGAAAGGAAACTGAAACTCAAATCAAGGGAGTGGACCAGAAGGAAGGAAGAAACAACCAAACAGAAAAGAATGAAGAAACAAGAATTCAAAAAATGAGGAGAGGTTTAGGAACCTCCAGGACATCGTTAAAAGTTCCAACATCCGAATTACAGGGGTACCAGGAGAAGAGGAAGGGCAACAAGTGGAAAACTTATGTGAACAAATAATGAAGGAGAACTTCCCCAATCTGGCAAAGGAAATAGACTTCCAGGAAGTCCAGGAAGCTCAGAGAGTCCCAAAGAAGGTGGACCCAAGAAGAAATACACCAAGGCACATAATAATTATATTAGCCAAGATTAAAATGAAGGAGAGAATCCTAGAAGCAGTAAGAGATAAGAGGACAGTCACTTACAAAGGAGTGCTCATCAGACTGTCAGCTAATTTCTCAAAAGAGACCTTACAGGCAAGAAGAGGCTGGAAAGAAGTATTCCAAGTCATGAAAGGCAAGGACCTACGTGCAAGATTGCTCTATCCAGCAAAGCTTTCATTTAGAATGGAAGGGAAGATAAAGTGCTTTTCAGATAAGGTCAAGTTCAAAGAGTCCATCATCACCAAGCCCTTATTACATGAAGCGTTAAAGGGACTTATCTCAGAAAAAGAAGATAAAAAACATGAACAGTAAAAGGACAACAAAATCACAATTACTAACAACCGCACCTAAAACAAAAGCAAACTAAGCAAACAACTAGAACAGGAACAGAACCACAGAAATGGAGATCACATGGAGGGTTAGCAACAGGGGAGTGGGAGGAGAGAGGGGGAAAAGGTACAGAGAGTAAGTAGCATAGACGGTAGGTAGAAAATAGACAGGGGGAGGGTAAGAATAGTATAGGAAATGTGGAAGCCTAAGAATTTATGACACATGGACATGAACTAAAGGGGGGGGGAATGTGAATGGGGAGGAGTGTGCAGGGTGGAGGGGAATGAAGGGGGGAAATGGGACAACTGTAATAGCATAATCAATAAAATATATTTTTAAAAATGAAAAAAAAGAATGATATTCTATATTTGTCCATACAGCTTCTTCAAAACAGTGAGCTGTAGTCAAATTTAACAAACTTTAATAATCTAATAATCAAATCAAATTTTAATAGTCAAATCTAATTCCTTACCAGTTCCATAAAAGCAAAAATTCCAAAATGTTGAATAAATTGAAATATGTGTTCAAATTTGGGATTTGGGCAAGCCTGAAGTTTTTTGGATAAAGTGTGTTCCAAACTGAGAACAAGGCTGACACGCAGATGGAAGGAAAACACGCTAATGTTGCCTGGATGGGAGCGTGAGATGAATGCATGTTTAGGGCCTGTCTGTCCGACCCACGGCACGTGGAGTGCACGTTGGCACCGGACCAGAAACACACGACCTTTACCAACTGTTAACTACAGATTTCCAGGCTGTGGAAAAATATTCAGTACTAATTTTTTAAAGTCCCTCGCTAATGAAAAATTCCATCATTAATAGGATTTCCTAGGAAGACTACCCTGGTTTTTAACATTTCTTTTTGTGCTTGAAATGGACAGCTTCAGTTTTTTAAGCTAAGTGCCAACTTCTGCAAGAGGTAAATGGATACTTTTTAAATTAAAACAATGTTGGGGTGGGGTCATTTGTTCATTTTTGATTCCAGAGCAGTTTCTTATTAGTTATGATTGAATTTAAACTCAAATTAAAATGAGAAATTACTTAAAAAATAGTTCATATGTCCCGCAGTGCTATAACGTGGTAGAATCTTTAGAAATATTATCAATTCAGAAAATTATCCAGAATGCTGAAGTTGACTTGGGGAAAAATGCTGTTTTCAATAAAAAAAAATAGACACATAGTCATTTAGAGCAAATAGTTAAGCCTTAGTTGTGAAAACATAGATGTAACAAATCTGTAAGCACATGGAGCCACGGGGTCATTTATTTCACTATAGGGAGGGGGTAAATGACAGAAAAACAAAATCTGAAACAAAAATACCAAGTTATTTATTATTTGTGAGAATTGCCCCCAAAGGATTCAGCTTGGTAGATTTCTTTGTCCACAGACTGTGCAAGGCTTTTTCGGAATTAATTCTAAGTGTCTATAACCCCTCAGCAGATTTCCTGGCATCTGCATTAGCCACATTCTTCAAACACCCTGAGCGTTTGCTTTCTAAACCTTCTGTCCAGCAACAGAGACCTTCAGAACCATCCCTTGAACACATCCTTTTACTTTGTGCCTCTACTGCCCGTAGTTCTTTCTCTCTGGAATTACTTCTCTAGAAAAACAGCTCCTGATCCTTTAAGGACAGACACAAGAATAATTCCTTCTGTTACTACTGGAAAAAACTGCTGGAAGTTTTTTCCAATTCCTCTAAAAGACATTAGTTATTTCCTCTGCAAGGTTCCCATAATTCAATCACAGAATGTCTAACATGAAACTGTAATGGTCTGTTTCTGTTTCGACATCCCCACTGGTCTGTGCATCCCCTTCTGGAGAGCAGGGACCAGGGGTTAGTCTTCTTTGCATCTTTAGAATCCAGCACAGTTTAATACACACGTGGTATTTCACAAACATTGGCTTATTTATCAGAAAACACTGTGCTTACAAAAAAATCTTAGAGCACATTAAAAGATTCTATAGAGAATGCAGAAAATTATTTTAAAATAGAAATTTTTCCCAATACCACAGAATTCTCACCTTAGCCTTACTTCATATGAAAGAACATTCTACTGTGTATAAATATAATGGGTATTATCTGTAGACACCTGAAACTATTTATGGCATAAACATCACAATGATAGGCCCAGCTTAATTAAAACGTAAACTAAATGCATGGCTAGAAATGTGTTTTCATTTAATTTGGTAAGTCCATAAGGGGATGACGCAAACCATGCCACAGCCAGGAATGCTTTGTTCTGCTCATTCCTACAGCACTGTTTATACCGTTCTCAAGTGCTTACATGCACCGTTTTGTAAACAGTGATAGGCATCACTGAACTCCTACTAGATTACTGGTCAATTATTTTTTTCATCCTGCTTACTGCCTGCCATGAAAAACGTAACCAGTGAATGCTTGCTCACAAATTAGTCTCTCCTGGCTGATCAGCCATGCTTATTATTTAACCTCTGGGTCGGTTATGTGTCTTGACATTCTCATCAATCTAGGTTTCTAAGTTATTAATATTCAACCTTCAGGAAGAAGTCAGAGAAGTTATCTGAATGGTTTGACCTCGAACACCCAGGGTATTACGTCCTTGGTAAAGGCTAAGTCTTACCTAATATGGTACTGGTTGTTTAAGGAACATTCTAAACCCCTGCGTCTTTGGAATGCAGCAGAATTTATGGTAACAAGTTCCTTCATTCTGAAGTCCCGCTGGAGTCAGATCTCTCCCAAATTCTACATTTAGCCTAATGTTTTCTATTTCTCTGAAGTGATGGCACAAAAATAAAGTCCTCTTTTACCTTTAGATTTATCTAAAACATGTTGATAGTGTTTATGGAGCAGACAATATTATTGTTTGTGGTATAAACCTCCAAATTGTACCAATGGATTTGTGGGAACTAAAGATGAAGATGCTAGAAAGCTATACCATAGATGACAAAACAATATTGTGGTTCTCCCAGATAAAAGCAAAATTAAAAAACTCTGAATCTGAAATTCACCCTTGTGTTCTAACACTAACTCTGCTTATGTTCACAAGAGGGTATCTGATGCTTTGTTGCTTCTCTTTATCAACACTCTTTTTCAGCATCCTTCTCAAATGTATCTTCCAAGGTTCATTTTCCAGGGAAATAAAGGTCATCAATATATTCCCGTCTATATTTCATAGCACTGCCATTCAGGTAAAGCTCAAGGAAAGAAAACAAATTCAGTCACCAAGACCCAGGAATTAGTCAGGTAGGGTCTTGTGGTAGCACTTACTTATTCCTGAAGGCAAGATCTATGGTTAGGAAAAATTTTCTACTGCTTAAGCTCTGACCCTGGTGAGTGAACATCCCAACTGAACCTAAACTTTAGACATGTGGTCACTGGTAGAGCTAGTGCACATTCTACCTCAATCTCTTCCTGTTTCTCTCTCTCTCTCTTTCACTTTCTTTCAACAACTCCCTTCTACTTCTCCCGCGGCCTGGCCTGCCAGGGTGTCTTTTTCACTGTAACTCCGTGGTATAAACTGCCAAGCCAGACTAATCTGCCACGCCTCCATTTCCTGTCTTCACATACCACCTGAACTGCCTTTCTATCCTCACCTCTATCTCGACCTACCAAAGCATAGTTACTCTACTATTCCATCCATTCACTGAATTAATAATAATTATATTCTGATCTGGCACTGGGACTTAAGTTCTTATTCCTCCACTGATCTGAACTCTCATCCTGATTATAGCAGACACTCAAAAACATTAAGGACTAAGTGAGTCAGGACAGCGCTGGCTAGCACGCATGGTCAGTAGAATCAGGTCACCTGCTTGTTGGCCTTCAGCACTGCCCTCAGCGTGGCAATCTGCTCCCGTTTGGTGCTCAGCAGGGACTTGAGCTTGAGAAACTCTTCCATTAAGGCTTCCTTGTCTTTATCGAGCATGGGGGTCAGCTCCCGTGCCGCTGCTCTCTGACGAGACAGTTGCAGGGACCGGTCCACAGCTTTCTGCAAATGCTTGATTTGGTCCCGGATAATGGCATTAAGGTTGTAGATGTTCATTGGCTCTTTGCGGATGTCACTGGTATCTAATACTGGTGATGATGGTGGGGCAGTAATAACAGGAGAGATGGTGGGGGTCTTGGTTGGACTCGGTTCTTTGCTGGCCTCTGTGTTTTCTTTTGCAACTGGTTCAGAGGAGGTCCTTGTTTCTACTGGGGATGACGCGCCCCGCCTGGCTAACCGTGGAGACAGAAGTCCCCTGGGATCATCAGGTCCTTTCAGGCTGCCACTACGGGTAACTCTGCTTTGCCTATAGTAGTCCAGCATGACTCTGTTGGGGGTTTCATTATTACACAGACACACATGGTGGTAAAGCTGGGCTAGCTCCTCACTGAATGTCACCAACTCATCCTGGGCTGTGTTAAGGGTATTGTGATTTTCATTGGCTATGCTGGTCATCTTTTGCAATTCCTTCTCCATATGGGCCATCTTCTCACCACTCTCCTTGGTGGACTTCTCAAGGCTTGTCACCTGCTCATCGTACATTTGGATCTTACTCTCATACTTGGTCTTCTCTTCAGTATAGTTTTCCACAGATTTATTGTATTTCTCCTTTAAGGCTTTAATTTCAGCTTTCAAATCAATCACCTCAGTTACTGCCACCCTGTATTTGCACTCAAGGATCTCTAAGCCATTGATGTCCACCTCATAGTCATGCGCCTCCTCCCCTGAGTCCCGGCCCTTCTCCCCATCTTGCTCAGGCTTGAGCTCCTTGCTGCTCTGGAGGCCCCTCATGGCATTCACGTGCTCTGTGAGCCGGTGCACCCGTTCATGCTGCTCTGTCAGCGCCCCCTTGGTGTGTTCCAGCTGTGTCTGTGACTCCTGAAGATTGGCCAGAAGAATGGCCTTTTCCCGCTCTACCTGCAACAGCAAAAGAAAGTCACTGAATGACTGTGATGCAATGCCACTGATGAACTGAATCCATGCACAGTCGGGCAAGTATACATGAAAAATAAATGCAAAAGAGCCATTGTCGCCATTATTTTAAACTCAACTGGAATGTGTTTTCTTATTTCAGAAGTTCTGGTAAGTCAATCACTCTAAGTAAAGCATTCTAAAAGAATTATGCTATGCATATTTGCCCATCCAAATTCTCGTGCTTTATACACATCAATTCATAAAACTTGGATGTTGTTCAAACAATCCTATTTTTACCTTTTAACACTTTACAGAAACTATAACATGACTTAAAAGAGATGGTACTTGGTGTTGTCATTATTCTGAGAGCCTTACACTGCATCTGCTCCTGAATTCACGTGGGATGAGTGCTTGTCTCAGGTGCCTGTGAATCATCCTTTCCCTCCCAAAGCTTAATCCAGAATCAGATACAAAACCTAAGATGGTGCCTTTAACATTTCCTTAAAAATAAGCATTGAATCCCAACAATAGACATATGCTAAGTTTGAGAGCTTTTCATACAAAAGCCAGAGAATACAGACTTTTATAGCTAAAAAAACAATTTACACATCATACCTCCAAAACAAAATTTTTAAATTGGCAATTAATAATAATAATGTGGCAACTTTAGTATTATATTCGTGGTATTATTATATACTGAAAATTTTTCAGGTCTCAATATATAATAGTGTCTCATTAAACACAAGCATATAAGAAATTGTAATCTGGGAATTTTTAAAACCATTTTCTGTCCCTCTATATGGGTAATCAGTATTATTAATTTAAAATTTTTACCTTTTATAATCTAAAATCTTTTTCAATATGCAAACATTTAAATGTTAAAGTATTATATAATAATATTTACATTTTAAAGCATTATATAAGAGGCATCATACCCTTCTGCACTTGTTTTCTTTTTTCTAACTTTCTGTTATCCTTAACTACTTTAAGGATAACAGATTGATGTGAATGTCTTTACATCTAGAAAAAGTTATCAATTCAAACTTCCAAACTTTGCTGGGTCATACATTGTATCTTTCAAAACTCTTCTAAATTTCTAGGAGGCAAGTAAAATCATTATTATAAATACATAACAAATATCAATTATTAAAATGTAATTAATATTTATTTTAACCAGCATATTACTGTAGAAGACATCTACCCACCAATTTATAATACAGCAGTGTAGTATTTTTATGATCCCTGTGGTACTTGATATCCTTCATCTAATAACCATGTAAAGACAGTCCTCACTTTGCCAGGTTCTAATACACATGAATTTCACTGACTATGGTTTAGTTGAAACACAAAATACAGCTTAGATTTCAAAGACCAATACATTAACTGTAACCAAGTGTAAAATACAGTGTAAATTTCAGTGACTAATATAGTAAGTGTAAGCAAATGTAAAGTACACACTTTGCCACTTCAATCTATAAAGTTACTACGTCGTAAACATCCCGACCAGTGACCAATCACATGACTTCATACAAAGGCTTTCGGTGATTGGTCACTGTGTATCTGTTCTTCAGTTCACTCATAGACAGCGAAGTCTGTAGTTGGGCTGTCTTCTTTGGGTTATCTGTTTTTTGTAAAACATTATGTGGGTTTACCACTGTGGGACAAGAAGACAGCCCAAGTGGTAAACCCACATAATGTTTTACAAAAAACAGATAACCCAAAGAAGGAACTGGTGGGCGGAAAGAAGAAATTGGTGGGCGGAAGGAAGGAACTGGCGGGTGGGCGGAAGGAAGGAACTGGCGGGCGGAAAGAAGGAATTGGTGGGCGGAAGGAAGGAACTGGCGGGTGGGCGGGAGGAAGGAATTGGCGGGCGGAAGAAAGGAATTGGCGGGCGGAAGGAAGGAATTGGCGGGCGGAAGGAAGGAATTGGCAGGCGGAAGGAAGGAATTGGCGGGCGGAAGGAAGGAATTGGCGGGCGGAAGGAAGGAACTGGTGGACGGAAAGAAGGAACTGGTGGGCGGAAGGAAGAAATTGGCGGGCGGGCGGAAGGAATTGGCGGGCGGGCGGAAGGAATTGACGGGCGGAAGGAAGGAATTGGCGGGCGAGCAGAAGAAATTGGTAGGCGGAAGGAAGGAATTGGTGGGCGGAAGGAAGGAATTGGCGGGCGGGCGGACGGAAGGAATTGGCGGGCGAGCGGAAGAAATTGGTAGGCGGAAGGAAGGAACTGGTGGACGGAAAGAAGGAACTGGTGGGCGGAAGGAAGGAATTGGCGGGCGGGCGGAAGGAAGGAATTGGCGGGTGAGCGGAAGAAATTGGTAGGCGGAAGGAAGGAACTGGTGAACGGAAAGAAGGAACTGGTGGGCGGAAGGAAGGAATTGGCGGGCGGAAGGAATTGGCGGGCGGGCGGAAGGAAGGGATTGGTGGGCGGAAGGAAGGAACTGGCGGGTGGAAGAAAGGAATTGGCGGGTGGGCGGAAGGAAGGGAGAGAGGAAGGAAAGGAGCATAGAGGGAGGAAGGGAAAGGAAGGGGAGGGGAGGAAAAAGGGGCAACAGAGAAACAGTAAAAATGTTGCAAGTGAAATGTGAATCAAATGTAAATGGAGTTATAGAAGAAATAGCTGAATGTGGGAGTGTAGACACTGCTGATATTTGGAGGATTTTAGATACACAGCCAAAGCAATCTGGCAAAGAACATATCAAAAATGGAAAAAGTAAGGTTTTTTTAAAAGATTTTATTTTTAGAGAAGGGAAGGGAGGGAGAAAGAGAGGGATAGAAATATCAATGTGTAGTTGCCTCTCGAGTGGCCCCCACTGGGGACCTGGCCTGCAACTGCAGGCATGTGCCCTGACTGGGAATCAAACCTGTGACCCTTTGGTTCATAGCCTGCGCTCAATCCACTGTGCCACACCAGCCAGGGCAAAAAAAAAAAAAAGTAGTTTTTATAAAAAGGATGAAAATATCGTAAAGGAAGTGGCACCAGCGTACTAAAGATACTCTCAGAGATATTTTCAGACATTGGAAGTACAAAGGATAAAATGTTGGAAGCTGATCTAAATGTAGATGGGAGTATGACAACTTGTCAAGGCATAAAAAAGATACTCAGTATTATAAATTATAGCATGAGAAGAAAGTAAGCTCAAACTATTTTTGGTAGGGTCTTTTAGGGGAAGGGTTAAATTTTTATTTCAGAGGTAAGTTTTCTAATTTTTAGATTACAGTGTTCTGAGTAGTTTTACTATTTTTTTCATTTCTCTATACATTTATAAACAATGTTTCAATGTAATTGTCTCGTTAATTTGTTTTGCATAGTTTAAGCTTGCTTAATCATATTTATGTCTCCATAATAACATGCAAAGCAAGGATTGCCTGTATTGTGTGGTCAATACAGGAAACCAATTAGTAGGGTTCTAATATATTAAAACTTAAAATGCAGTTTTATTATTTTTAATTATTATTTATAGGCAGGCTCCTAAGTTGTAGCTTTGATTTGTATGACATGGTCTCTGTTCAAATCTATGACAGGAACATCATCCAAAAGTTATGTATTATTGCTATAGAAACCAAAATATTTCAGAAGAATACTGTTATAGATAAAAACAAAACAAAAGCAAATTGAGGCTCCAGCATCAGAGAACTTGAGTCAAACCTTGGCACCAACATTTACTCAGCTACGTGACTCTGGCCAAGCTTCAGTTTACTGATCTATAAAAGGAGCACAAAATGTCACTTTGATGATTAAGATAGTGAATTCACTGTTCAAGGTATTATGCTGGTTGTTGTTAACATGTGGGGAACTGTGGTCCAATTCCCATGACCAAAATGATTCTATGTGGCAATCAGTTTCCACAAATTTGGATCTGTGTGCAAAAGCAACTCTTTCATTTCAGAGTTGGGATATAGTTGAATACAAATCCCCTTAATTGGGTTTCAGTCACTGTAAAAGATTGTATCTCTACAGCTAAAGATGAACAGACTATTGGGTAATAATTTTAAGTGATAACCCAGGTATTATGTAGCATAGTATTAGATGAGGAGCCAAGTCCTTTGAATTTTTGATAGGGGGACAAAAAAACCTCCACAATATGCTATTATTGGTACTGTATACAATCTCAATGCAAACATGTTATTTCAGGAGCTTTTTCTTTTTCTTTTGAAAATTAAGTGAATTTCCTCTGAAAAGTCTAAATATCATTAGATTAGTATACATGATTACAAAAGACAAAGCTACTTCCAGAAAGCCCTTTAACAGGAAAAGCCTATTTGGATAAAATAGGATAAAATAAAATAATAAAATAAAAATTGGACCAGGACAAAATGTACTGAATGTGCCTTAAGCTTGTTTTAGAAGCAAAAGTGTTATAATGGATGAGGTAATGCCTGCAGGAGAGTTTCGATCTATATTCTGTCAATTCACATTGAATATAAACATTTTCTAAGTCTAAAAGGGTAAGTCTATCAGCTCCTTCACAACACCACCTCCAGAAAGCATCAAATAGAACACTGTCTCTTTTCTGTGCCTATATGCTCCATATACAGGGCTAATTTCCACAATTACTACATTTCTGGTGGAATTACTTGAATATGCAATTACCATTTGGTAAAAAATTACCAAATTTTTTACACACACTCATTTCCCCCCCAATTAAGACTGGTCTGACCAAACAGAAAGGGGGGACAGTGGGATAATTCTATAAAACTCCAGCATTATATTTTCTCTCAGCTACTGAGGCCTAGAATATCTTAATTGTATTTGGATTTTAGAGAGCAATGCTTAAACTATTATAGGTACACTGTGCTTTGAATTAATAAATGCCAAACACTTAAAAAATTTAAATTACTGAACATTTTAACTGTGCTATTTTAATCTTCATTTGTGAACTCATCCAAGAGAGTCTTGCTGAGTTAATTATCATCTTCCATCATGACTGAGAATAGTTGCCTTATTTCTCTTTCTAGAACCTTTATCTTCTATCTGGAACTGAGGATTTCAGTTTTCACTGTAA